CTTTATTAATGAACTGAAGTTTGAATTTCATATACTTTTCATGTATCACAAAACACTTGATCTTTGTTTAAACCACTTGAAAATGTAAAAACCATTCTCAGCTCTCGGACTGCAAAAAACAGGTGGCAGGCTGGATATCCCCCATGAACAGGTCTTTTCTTGGGACATTCTGCATGGTTTAGAAGTTGGAAAGGAGCAGTAAGAGCTGAGTGGTACTTTCTGACAAAAGGTTCTACAGAATCAACTGGTTGACTTCTCTACTCTCTTTTATAGTTTTGCTCCATTTTAAAATTAGAAATACTCTGAAATTAGAAGAACTAAGATAGCAAAAATTATGAAATGTGCTTGTTAGTATCTGATCATAACAGTGTTGAATGATAAAAAGTATGCTTTCACTTTTGAAAAAGAAAACTATTCAATATTTAAAGTCTCCTCATTATACGGAAATAATTTCTCTATGAATATTAATTGAAATGCAATTCTATTTCTTCTCTCTACCCTCTGGACTCAAGATTTGTTGCCTGAATAGTAACATACAAATCAAAGCAGTGGACTCAGTTTTCATTGATAAGAAAGGGGGGGGACTATCAAAAAACATCAACAATACTGGTTCTAAAAAGCTAGGAAGGAATATTCACCCCTGGTGGCTATGTAAATTAGTACAATCCCTTTGGAGGTCTGTTAGGAAAATTTACCAAAACTTAAAATGTACATAACTTTTGACTCAACAATTATACTTCTAGGAATTCATCTTAAAAAGATAACCAGACAAGTGAGCAAATATGTATATACAATTAGTTTCATACTTGGAAGAATTTGGGTTTCTCTTTTAATATTATTGAAGTAGAGATGACTTACAGTGCTGTGTTCATTTCTGCTGATACAGCAAAGTGATTCAACTATATACATATGTATATTCTTTTTCATTATACTGAATATAGTGCCCTCTCCCATACAGTAGTACCTTGTTCTCTGATCTTATACTAGCATTTGCTAATCCCAAACTCCCAATCCTTCTCTCCCAAAGAATTGTTAATATCATGAAAAGATTAAAACTACTTAAATGTCCACTAGTTTAACAGTGGAAGGATACAATGGAATTCTAGGTAGCTATAAGAAATAATGATGTGGACAAGCATTTGACGTGGGATGTACATTTGACATGTACACATCTACAACATATTAAGATAAAAAAGCATGTTACAAAACTGCATGTTACAAAACTATACAGTTTGATCTCAACTGTGTGAAATGTCTAGATATGGTGTTTGCATAGGTGCCTGTGTGAGAGAGACAGAAGAAAAACAGAGGCAAAGAAGCAGAGTTAAAAGAATGCACACCATGATGTTGACAGGTGATTTTTACTTTCTCATTTATAATCTTTTGTTTATATTATTTCGCAATGACCCATGTATTACTTTCATAATTTAAAAAAGACTTATTAGAAGGTACAACACCATGAGTGGCCCCTAATGTAAACCATGGGCTCTGGGCAATAATGGTGTGATCACTGTAACAAATGCCCCATTCTGGTGGAAATGAAGCCAGTGAGGGAAGCTGTGTGTGCATGTCGCATGGAGGGGGAGGGCAGGGGGCAGGGGAGAGAAGGACATATAGAAACTCAACTTTCTGTTCAATTTTTCTGCTAACCTAAAGTGCTCTAAAAACTAAAGGCTATTTTTTAAAAAGATATATTAAAACATGTAAACAGTTCAAAAGTGTGTGTGTGTGTGTGTGTGTGTGTGTGTCGCACTGGGGGGGGGGGGTACATGAAGTCCAGTGTTTGGCCTGCCAGCAGTTCCCCACCAGGAACTGACCACAGAATACTCTCCTCTTTCCAGAACCTGACTGTTCCATGCATTCACCCTGAGGATACTCTCCTGTTTCTCTGTTATTTCTGATATAATAGCATGCTTTCAGTGGAAACTTAGAGGACTGAAGGCTGCATAAGATAATCAAGGGCTCAAGAAAAGCAATTTAACACTTTCTCATAGATTAGCTTTAAAATGGAGTTCTAGTGGAGGCAAAAGACCAGGCTGCTAAAGGATAAACTGGTCTTAAGGGGCTTTAATGGAAGAACAAATGCCAAATGAGATTTTAATGATAAGCAGTATCTGTGACATTAAGAGGAGGCATTCTGATGCAAGTCAGAGGATAACACCAAAGTTAGAAAAAGTTAATGGGAAAATACTATATTTTACCTTGATTTTTATTTTCTTTATCATAAATACATACATGATAATTTTTGCTTCCTATACTTTGCCAAATACATACTTCCACATGTGTATGTCAAATGTATCTATTTTAACATGGCAAAAAGGTTTAGAGGTTTCTATGTGGAATATAGACCTCAGAGTTGAAACCATCTGAATGACATCCAGATTTTTTTTTATTGCAGGGAAGAAAACCCAGCCTTGACAAGAACTAAATCTTTAAACCTGATTAACAAGAACTGGCCAGAGAAGGCAATGGCATCCCACTCCAGTACTCTTGCCTGGAAAATCCCATGGACAGAGAAGCCTGGTAGGCTGCAGTCCATGGGGTCGCTAAAAGTCGGACACGACTGGCCAACTTCACTTTCACACATTGGAGAAGGAAATGGCAACCCACTCCAGTGTTCTTGCCTGGAGAATCCCAGGGATGGGGGAGCCTGGTGGGCTGCTGTCTACGGGGTCGCACAGAGTCGGACACGACTGAAGTGACTTAACAGCAGTAGCAACAAGAACTGGCAGTGTTATGAGGATTCCCAACTATGGCAGAACATAAAAAGTATCTTAAATTAACAATGGGATGTTAACAGGAAAAACGGAATCTCTAATATCTAATATATCATGGCTCCAAATAACATCATGGCTCCAAATTATACTTTTTAAACAAGCTACTATAAATTCATACTTTAAGAATTTCAAGGGAAATGAAACCTAATTTACAAAAGGCACTATTAGTAATTTATATAAAATGCCCAACAATATCAAATTGTTATGTTGAGTAAAGCAGGTACCACAAACTTAGGTTTAATATTAATGACATTTGTTCAACCTTAGATACACACAGAACTAGAGTACGTGTTTTCTGGTTCCTCACCAGGATTAATGCTAACCTGACAGAGCATGTTTGTTGGTTTCCCGTGTGAAACTTCTAAAATTAAAAATACAATTTATTTTGGAACATAATTTTGTGGTTAAGACATTTTTAAGCATTTGGTCATTATCTTGAATAATTAATTTTTTTTTTTGGTTGGGCATTTTTTTCCACAAATACAGCACTTTCTTAACTCAAAAGTTGTGAAATAACAAAATAATTACTCCCATGGTAAATCATCATTTCCTAAGTCCCCTTGTAGTAAATATCACTATATTTATTATAAGGGATTCAGAGAAACTCTCAAAATTACTGAGAGAAACTGTTAGGATTCTCAAGGCAAGAAACACTGCTCACAGCACTGAGAAAAACAGCAACATACCACAGACGGACAAACGCCACAGAACTTCTTGACGGAAACTGTCTCCAGACATTTCCCAGGCGAATTTTATTTTTAGGCTTTTATATGTTTACATGTGAAACAGATGTGATTTCCACCTAAGTCAATCTGACAGGAATGCTTTTCCTCACCACCAAAAAAACTGGCTTTAAAGGGAGTCATACCACTGAGTTCTACAAGAACCTGAGGAGTTTCATGGGGACTCCTAACCTGATTTAAATTTAACAGAAATGCTTAATTCATAGCCAACTCTTTAGGAAACAATAATAAAATATTTTATCTTCACAGCTTTCTTCATGAGATTATTTTTTATGCTCCCCATTTTTAAATGGAGGGTTTTAGGGCCCAAAGGTTAAGGACCCTACCCAGGTCACAAAGGCAGGATTTGAACCCTGACTCAGTCGGTAAAAGAAGCCAGCTGCAATGCAGGAGACTGACTACAAAACAGTCAACCTAGTTTCGATCCATCCAGGTTCAACCCCTGAATGGCGAAGATACCCTGGAGAAGGAAACGGCAACCCATTCCAGTATTCTTGCCTGGGAAATCTCATGGACAGAGGAGCCTGGCAGGTCCATGGGGTCACAGGAGTTGGACACAGTTTAGTGACTACACACATCACCACCACCAAACCAATGAAACATTTCTAACTGCCTGTCAGGCAGCAGGACACATGGAGATTGTGGTTCTGCTCTGACAACACTCTCAGCACATGGGCCCATGAGGGGAGCTACTCCCTCTCATCTAGACAGCTTCCCTGCATAAGGAGTGCGTGAACGCTCCCCATCTTCCAGGATCATTGAGAGAATGTGAAATGAACAGAATGAAAGCCTTTCTAAAAAGTCAAAGCACTAGACAAACATGGCTTCTCAGGTGGCTCAGTAGTAAAGAATCGCCTGCCAATGCCAGAGACACAGGTTCGATCCCTGGGTCAGGGAGACTCCCTGGAGAAGAAAATGCCAATCCATTCCAATATTCTTACCTGGGAAATCCATGGACAGAGAAGCCTGGCTATATATAGTCCATGAGGTAGCAAAAGAGCTGGACACTACTTAGGGACTAAACAACAACAACTATATAAATACACAGTGTGCTAAGTTATGTCCAACTCTGAATGTTCCAGCAACACACAGATTACTTCCTAAATGACAGAAAAGATCCTAACTGTGCTTTATTGATATTAGTGGCCACCTTGGTGTGTCTTTTATTGGTGTTCATCTGCAAGCCTATAAAGTGGCAGACCAAACTCTTGGCTTCAAAGCAAAGCAAAGCAACCTGAACAAGGCAAATAAAACGCCAATTTGACACTTATTGTTAAGGACAGCCAAGCACTTTCAAACTACAAATGTAAATAGCAATCTGTATCCGAGGAAACACATTTTCTATTAAAAATATTCTTTATTCTAAAGAACATGTTAAGTTGACTGATTAATTTCAGAAGGTCAAATCCTGAGAAGATAGAATGAAATGTTTAAAAATGTACTGAACTCTGATAAGCAAAGGACAAGGATCATTTCTTACCTCCCACATGTATACATTATTCTTAACCTGAGATCTTTTTTTCTTGTCACCGACAAATGGCCCAAACTTTTTGCCTTTTAAAATTGGTTTAGTGGCCCAGACACCTAGAAAATAAAACCAGTAGTTTCACAATGCATTATGGTTATTTTAAAGACTAAAGCACCAAAAGCAATTCAGTTTCACAAAATACTGAAAAGACTAGTCACCCTAAAAGCAAGACAATGTTAACTTAACTGAGATCACAGAAAATCAAATTAAATCAAATATTCAAAGGGGACTTTTACTTTTCTTCTTAACAGTCTTCTGTATTTTCCTAATAGCCTGTAAAGAATCTATATTGTTTTGTAAGGGGAAAAGATTATTTTATGGGTTTTTTTTAATCTTTACATATAAAATTACCTAGATAGCATAATCACAACAATTAAGAGAAAAAAATAACAAATGCAGTAAAAATGCAAAGTTCCTCTTTCTCCTTTTCTACAGATTTCAAATTGTCAAAAAAAAAAAAAAAAACCCTTAAAGGGTTAGAAACAGTGTCTTGTAGTAAATATTTTTGACGTTTGTTTGCTCTCTGCTCTGTTTTCTGAAAGGTTAAACAACTCACTCTTCAGAGTTTAAAACAACCAAGATATATGCTTCTTTGTGGTATTCTCAGGGGTATTTCTATATTCTTCACAGTGACCGTAAGGCAAACAAGATGCAGAAGCAGTGGGTAAAACAGCAGGAGACACCCTAGTCAACGGGCCCAGTGCCAGGGTGTCTCTTACTGACAGCACTGCTTTGAACATGTTCCCTTACCTTCTGGGCTCAATTTCCTCATGTATAGATGAAGGCTGTGGTCTCAGCCAGTGGCTCAGCTATGATGAACTAATTCCACCACCTCTAAGTCTGCTATGAATCCCATTTGATATCCCAGCTAATAACTAATTAGTGAAGAGAAAAATCAACCACTTTCATGAACAAATTACTCACTGAATAATTTTCAACGAGAATTAGGAAAAGCATTTATTAAAAGTTTATTCACACACATATGAAGAAAGCTGAGCACCGAGAAATTGATGCTTTTGAACTATGGTGTTGGAGAAGACTCCTGAGAGTCCCTTGGACTGCAAGGAGATCCAACCAGTCCATCCTGAAAGAGATCAGTCCTGGGTGTTCATTGGAAGGACTGATGCTGAAGCTGAAACTCCAATACTTTGGCCACCTCATGCGAAGAGTTGATTCACTGGAAAAGACCCTGATGCTGAGAGGGATTGGGGGCAGGAAGAGAAGGGGACGACAGAAGATGAGATGGCTGGATGGCATCACCGACTCGATGGGCATGAGTCTGAGTAAACTCAGGGAGCTGGTGATGGACAGAGAGGCCTGGCGTGTTGCGATTCATGGGGTCGCAAAGAGTCGGACACGACTGAGCAACTGAACTGATACACCAGAATATCAGAAGAACATCTTTAAAAAAAGGAAACAGGACATAAACATGATTTCTTCTAAGACTGTACTCTTAACTTTTATAACTTATTTCCTTAGCCTTCTGTCTAAAGATTAGAACACAAAAACAAGACTCAATACAAAAAAGCCTGGCTATATTCAACAAGAAATTCTAGCAAGAAGCATTGGGACACACTCATTATTCACTCAAATACCCACTGAGGTCCATGAAGAGCGTCAGTTACTGGAGGCATGAAGATAAATAAGAAATGAAGGCACTCACAATCAATGCAAGTGATGGATATGAAAACAAATACAAAATAATGAAATAAATATAATACTATCATCACCCTCAAATCACAGGAAATCAGAGGCAGAGCAACACATTCTGTGGGAAGAAGAGCCCCTGGGGAGACTCGGAGGAAGGGGCTGCTCAGGCTGAGTCGCAAAGGAGGGCGGGTGGGTGTGAGATGTTCCTGTCCACCCTGCATTCTTAACTGGGAAACAAACTCTTCAAAACAAGTCAGAGCATAGATGTGTGGCTTCTGAAGTGAGCTCCCCACCTCAGAAGCCCCCAGAGGAAGCCTGGCCACAGCCCACTCTCCCTGCCCTCTCCTCCCCTGACCCCAGCACTCACCAATCCGAGTTTTGTCAACAGCAGATGGGAAAAGCCTCACTTCCTCCGGAAGTCCTCGAAGCACATGTTCAGGTACCTCGGCCAGGGTCTCTGCTGCTGCCACAGGCTCAGCTGCGTTCTGCAAGTTAAGAAACAGAAGGATAATAGCAGAAAGAAGAAAACTCAGTTCTCTTTTGACTTTTTTTTTTTCTGGTCCAATAAACAAATATGCAGAAATGTAAGTGAAACCTAAAGCTGGCAAGCCAGACTAAAACAATGATGTCAAGCATTTCAGGAGGTGCTTTTTTGCTTGTTTGTGAATCTCCAAAGGAAACCACTGTAATCTGCAAGCACGTCTGTGTTCATCTAGTTTGCTCCAGCCACCTGTGACCATTTAAAAAATATGTAAACCTTCGGCACCATACTGTTTTAATCTCCCACAGAATCTGGTAGCAAATTACATCTTAAGCTTACTTTTAAATCAAAGACTACCATCAGCATCTTAGGATGTTCAAAAGAAAATTAACACTCCCTATTTAAGTGAACACTTTTGGCACATGCTGTAAAGGCCATGCCAGCCAACTGGACCCCCATCCCATCCATGCTTTCATTCCTCCAGCCACAAGGGCTTGACAATTTCCAGCAAGAACACTACAATTTATTTTGGGTCCTCCACGGAAGTGTGACCTTTCCAGAAAACAGTACTATACCACCATACACCAAGTAACTAAACAGAAACACCCCACAAAATCACACAGTCTCAGAGAAATAGAGAATTTGGAAATTACTAAGTATATGTGAAAATTAATTGTAAATATTAAATAAGATTTCTATTAGATATGTATCTGAGGGAATAGAAAAGAAATAGAAATCTAAGGGAATAGAAAGGGGAGAACCAAGTCAACTCATAGATCATGACTGTTATTCTAAAAAAAACTTTGAAATCAAAGGAAAACCAGGTGGCTATTAATTAGCACCACACAGACCCTAAAGAACTGATATGCAGATCACAACCCTGCTAAGAATGATAGGTTTTGTAGTCTGAATGTTCTTTATTTCACTTGGCAAAGGGAAATATTTCTGAAGGACTTTCAAAGGAACCAACATAGGCAAACAGCAAAATCTAAGTTTAAGTCACTCAGTCATGTACAACTCCTTGCAACTCCATGGACTGTTGCCCTCCAGGTTCCTCTGTCCATGGGATTCTCCAGGTAAGAATACTGGAGTGGGTTGCCATTCCCTTCTCCAGAGGATCTCCCCAACTCAGGGACCAAACCTGGGTCTCCTGCATCACAGGCAGGTTCTTTCCTGTCTCTCTGTGCCACCAGGGGAGCAGCAAACTCCAAGATAAAATGACTAATTTTCCCCAATGAATACCTTGTAGTTTTAAGAATGCTTTGTGCCAAGAAGAGAGTATCATTCAAATTTCTGTACTCCTAGCATTTCAACTTAAAACAAATATCAACAGGCTCAGAACAACAAGGCAAGTCATTGTGAAGGTCTACTCTGCTATTCTGAGTTGGAATGTGCAAAAACAGGCACGTAAGGCTTGGGGACCATCTCTGGAAAGGGCAGATGTGATGGTGCATGCCCTCCAGCAGCACACACACTTCCATCCTGCTTGATTAAGCCTTGGTCCTGACAGTATCACCAAGCACAAGTTCAACACCTTCCTAAACGTGGGAATATCAAAACTGCCCCAGAAAATGATCTTATGGTATTTTTTAGTAGCTAAAGTGTAAATAAATTTAGCACACAAATTTCTCACTTCTAAATACAGTGCTCTCATTTTAAAAAAAGTTTAATCTATAAACCAGAATTTCGGAAATGTGACCACATTTTTCAAAAGAGGGAAAAGGTATTACATTGGTAACTGATATCCAGGCTACATAATAATTATTTTTAACATGGATAAATTAAACAATATTAACAAGCCATAGCCACAGTCACTAGCACACAGCCAGTTAGTATGGTATGTGGGAATTTCCTTCCCCTTTTTCAGAGTGAACCCTAGAAAAGATTTTAAAGGATGTGACACCATCTAACCTTCCCAGGAACTTTGAAAAGACAATGTGACAGCTAACTCAAACTGATAATTCCAGGCACTATTACGATACTACTAATGATTTAATGTGTACTGGAACTTCCTTGGGCCTCAGTGCAAGGCACTGTGCTAGCCATCTTGTGTGCAAGACAGAGTTTACCCCAAACAGCCTAACAGGAAGGCCCCGTTAGTGTCTCCTCCCAGCTCCCTGCCCCACCACTACACACACAGAAGAGGAAATTGAGGCTTAGGGAAGTGGTCCAAGGTGCCCAAGGATAGGAACTGAATCTCTGTCTGTCTATCCCCAGAGCCCAAGCCCATAACCACTATGGTGTTTACGGTTAAAATTCTGCTGGATCGGCTTTGAGGTCCTAATGTAAAACGTGGTGATTCTGGTTGATAGCACTGTACTACAGAACTGAAACTGCTAAGAGTAGAACTTAAATGCTCGCTCCTCCTCCCAAAAAGAAAGAAAAAGAGAAATATGCAAGCTGATGGGTGTGTTAATTAACTGGACAGTAGGAATCCTTTCACAATGTCTAAGTATATGGAACCACCACAATGTACACACAGCTTAAATATCTTACAATTTTGTCAATTATACCTCAGTAAAGCAAAAATTTCAAAAGGAAAAGATTCTGCTGGAATACAGTCTGACAACTTCTGCCCTAAAATCTCCAAATTTCCATAGAAATGTCAACAGGAGATGGTAACCTAAGGCAGGAATGGTCATCCCCACAGGAAATTTGTAACTTGAGTCTAAGTTGGAGACCATATAAGTTTGAGGCACCTGGGAATATAAAGGACTTCAGGAGAAGTACCACAGGAAAAAGAAACAACAAAAATTCCCATATACATACTTACTTGCCTTCAACAAATCCATGGTTTTTAATTTGGGCTCCTTTAGTTAGAAGAGGAAAGCTTTTTTCCTGTTTATTTTAGTATCCTTCACAAACTACAACAGGGCTCAACTAAAACCCGAGGACCTCATTCCAGACACTGGCCAGCACCAGGGCCTTCCTCTCACCTCTCCGGCTGTCGGAACCCCCACTGTGGTGCCTACTGCTAGAAACTGCAGGGAACATTTTTCAGGAAGTCGGAAGTAGAAGGAGGTAGGATGGCTTGCCTAAACAGAACCATCCTCTCTCCTGCCTTATTTTTCCTTCACAGCTCTTACCACAATTGTTCAATAATTGCTTGTATAATTATGCTTACTGTACCTCCCCCATCAGACTGCAGGGAAGACAGATGGTGTCCACCTTACTCCATGCTCCATTCCCAATACTCAGCAGCAGACCTGAAATGTTTGTCACTTAAAATACTTGAATGAATAAGTGATTCTGGCAAGCTAACTTAAACTTTTTAGAAAAAAGAAGGCTAGGAAAGCACAGCTGAGTCAACTATCTGAAAGCATTTTCTCTATGCATGCCTGAATTTGAGATAGGTATTCTGGGTCAATGTAAGGATCCTTTTTTAGAAAACATGGCATGCTCTCAATTTCAAGCAACCACTTGACAAGTAAACCTCTGGAACAAAAGCATATTTAAAAGAAAATTTCACTTCCCAACATATCCATAATTGGGAAACTGGGATTATATATACACACACACACACACACACACACACACACACACACACATACATATAATATATATTAGATGTAATACCATACTCAAAACAGGGTCACCTTGGTTCGTACACTAAAGAATCACAGTCCTGTGTGACTACTTCTCAGGTTGATTTTGTCTAAAAGAAACTGGAGCGTCTCAATTTATTACAAGATTTCTGAGTACGTTCTGTGGGCCAGGTAATGTTTTAAGCATCACACAGGCCTCAATACTGTGTCACTCTAGTGAAGAAGATGGACAAAATTAAACAAAGACCTACAGTGCTTGGTAGCTACTGATGCTCTGAAGAGAAATCAAGCATGAGAAGAGGACACAGTGAAGGGAGAAAGGGTGTATTTCAGACAGAGTGCTCATGGGAGACCTCTCGAGAAGCAAGAAGGAAATTGGGTGACAACATATGGGAAAAACAGGCCAGGAGAGGACCTTGCTGAGACAGGAATGAGTGTGGTAAGTTCAGGGAACAGACAGGCAAAGAGACCTACGCGTCCAAAGCAGGGCAGAAGACAGCAGAACGGCCAGGGCTGTGGCGGGGGAGGGAAGCAGGGTAATGCCACTGGAGAGACATGAACCCCACAGAATGAGAGGGGCAGCGACCAGGTTGCACACTCCTCCTTCCAGAGGGGCCAACAGCCTCCCAGGACCCCATCTCTGCTGTCCCAGGATCAAGTCCAGTTCAGTTCAGTTCAGTCACTCAGTCATGCCCAGCTCTTTGCGACCCCATGGACTGCAGCACACCAGGCCTCCCTGTCCATCACCAACTCCCGGAGTTTACTCAAATGGCAACCCACTCCAGTGTTCTTGCCTGGAGAATCCCAAGGACGGAGGAGCCTGGTGGGCTTCCATCTGTGGGGTCGCACAGAGTCAGACACAGCTGAAGCGACTTAGCAGCAGCAGCAGCAGCAGTATGTCCACTGAGTCGGTGATGCCATCCAACCATCTCATCCTCTGTCATCCCCTTCTCTTCCCTCCTTCAATCTTTCCCAGCATCAGGGTCTTTTCAAATAAGTCAGTTTTTCGCATCAGGAGGCCAAAGTATTGGAGTTTCAGCTTCAGCATCAGTCCTTCCAATGAATATGCAGGACTGATTTCCTTTAAGATGGACTGGCTGGATCTCCTTACAGTCCAAGAGACTCTCTTCTCCAACACCACAGCTCAAAAGCATTAATTCTTCAGCGCTCAGCTTTCTTTATAGTCCAACTCACATCCATACACGACTACTGGAAAAACCACAGCTGTGACTAGACAGACCTTTGCTGGCAAAGTAATGTCTTTGCTTTTTAATATGCTGTCTAGGTTGGGCACAGCTTCATCTTTTAATTTCATGGCTGCAGTCACCATCTGCAGTGATTTTGAAGCCCAAAAAAATAGTCTGTCACTGTCTCCCCATCTATTTGCCATGAAGTGATGGGAATGGATGCCATGATCTTAGTTTTCTGAAGGTTGAGTTTTAAGCCAACATTTTCACTC